GGACGGGCCGGGACTCACGGAGCCTGTCGAGCTCGCCCGTTTCCAACGGGAAGTTCAGTCCTAGGTAATTCTCCAGCCTTGCGCTGGCCTCTTGATCCAGGTCTGGAGGAGGGACAGAAGGCCGACCCCCCCCCACCCCCCCGGGGTCGGAATCGCTCGGATTCTCCAGAAATAGCAACCGGGGAAGGAGTGGCGGTGGTAGGAAGGAGCGAGAAGAGGTGTTTGTGGAGGGAGCGCCGCGTCTGTCTGCCTACCTGTTAGCAGAGAACAAAAGAGGGCCTCAGACAGCTACTTTCTCGGCTACACAAACTGCAGTCCCGAGCAGAACGAGAAAATTACTCGCGCAGGGGGAGCGAGGGAGCAGAGAGAAGCAGAGCCCTGCCGCGGAAGGCATCTTAATTTAATTAACTCCTTGGGCAGGCAGAGGCGCTGCACAGGGGCAGGAACTTCGCGACCGTTTTTTTTTTCTCAGTTCACCTGATCCAGCCTGGCCATTTTTATTTTATTTTTTAAAATGACCTCCTTAGATCCACTTGGACGGTAGCTGTCTGATTTATGTAAAATTCCACTGTGGCCTGGGCTGAAATTCGGCCAGCCCATCCATCTATCCGTCAGTTCTCGCAGACACCAGTGTACAGGTTCTAGCAGATGACCCCTGACTGTATATTATTTTTAGATAATTCGGTGCAGTAACACTGTTACCTAAGAGCCAGACTCCTTATCAATTACCACGTACCATTTTCTCTCCAATGCTTTGAAAGCTCCACTGGACTGAAATTAGTATGTACACACCTCACTTGTTGACAGCCAGTGAGCTAAATTTTGCAAAACTTCTGTCCGTGCCTGGGAATTCCTATGAAGAAGACTGATGAAAGAAAACCAACCCCAGCTCCACTGAAATCGCGATGTGTTTTCATTGGTTTAAATTTCTTTCCTTGCAAAATTAAAAGTAGCCAATGGTGCTAAACAGTGTGGCGGAGAAATGACAGCAAACGGTAACTGTTACTGCCTGAGACAGAGCATGGGAGCTCCATGCTCCACTCCAGACAAAACGAAAGTACTGCAGGTCTCTGCATTGACTTAAATATTTTTTGACATATATTTCCAGCAACTCTGCGGGAGAGTGGAAATCTAAACTCCTCCGTAATTGTTTATGGCAAAAAAAAAAAAAAAAGTTTGCTGGATATTTAGGGTGGTTCTGTTTGTAGAAGGGTTTCAGAAGTCACCAAGGGTCTGCTCTTCCTGACGGAACCATTTGCCCTGCAAGTTAAAATGAACACACACTGTCACAAGGCTCTTGTGTACCACCGCGAAGCTGAATTACAATAGAATCTTTCATTTTTTGCGTTATGAACCATTGGGGGAAAAGGGAAGGCACTCATCTTTCCGCCGGCGGAACTAACGTGTAACCTTTATGGCAGAGTTCACTTCGAGTATTTTGAATCGAAACCACAAGTCGTGGTAGTCCTTCAATGGACAACACCCCCCCACACACACACATGCACACATAGAACATGGTGGGAGTTGTGCTTGCCTCCTGTATTTATTTCTAAGAAATCTGGGAATACACCCAAATAATAATTTTGGTTTCCTCTCTATGGAGAAGGCTGCTTTTTGACGCTAGGGGAAAAATAATATTTGGAATCTCTGGGAAATCCTCCTTATGCACAAAGAAGGAAATACGGAAAGGTGTAATTTATTTTAATGGGAGAGGAAGTCATCAGATAGGTTACCGGGGATGTTAAGCAGAATCCTTTTTCCAGTCTCTCTAGGAGAGGGCTGGAGGAGTTGCCACCGAACAAAAATGAATCGTGATTTGTGGTGGGAAAGTTTATTTCGAAAGGAGGTTTACGGTTTCGGTTGAATGGTCTGACGGAGACCCTCTGACGGTTACACACCTCTCATTAACTCGGGGCCTGGGCTCCCAGACCGCCTACCACCCAGCAGAAGCGGTTCATTAATAAATCCCTGTCTCCGAGCCTTTCCAGGCGGAGGAGGAGGGAGGGAAGGTGTGGGCCTCGAGGAGGCAGCCAGGTCGGGCCTTGCCAGAGCGCCGTGCCATGAGCGCGGCCCCCTAAGTCTGCGCTCAGAGCCGCTGGCAGCGCCACGCGCTAGAGAAAGAAAATCCAGGCGCAGACGTGGTGCGTGGGGAGGGAAGGCTGAGCGAACTCCCCCACCTTTCTGCGGGTGTCAGCAGCCGGCGGGAAGGGTGATGGCTCAGACGGGCCGGCCTGCCCGTCTCCAGGGACAGCTGGAGGCCGTGAGTCCCGCACCCGGGGAGCCGCCCTCAGAGTCGAGGTGCAGCGCTGCCGAGCGGGAGGAACCCGGCGCTGTAAGGGGGTTGGCAGTGGGAGAAGGGAGGCCCCCCCGGAACGCAGGTGAGGTGCTTCTGGGAGCTTGGATCCGAAGGCAGACCTCCGTGTTGCCTTTGGGCGCGCAGGGAGAGCAGAGCGTGTGCGCCCGGCTTAGGCCCAGGCCGCAGACCTCGGCCCGGCGTCCAGGTGGCAGGAGCCCCGCAGCGCACGTCTCCAGGAGATAAACCAGCTCCCTACAGGCCGGCAGGCCCCCCACGCACCGGCCTCCGGGTCTCCCGTGCTCCCCCCCCCTCCCCC